AAGAGCAAAAATTTAAAATATATGTATATGCTAAAAATAATAAAGGCATAACTTGGACCATTTTATAAAAGTACAGACAACTTCAACTATTCCAAAAAATAAATTTCTCTGCCAGAGAAATATGGAGAACATGAAGATTATCAAATCACTGCATATCACTTGATACTCACAAAATCCGTATAAAATCCACAAAAAAGGAAAATAAAATAAAATGAAAGCATACAAAAGGAAGAATTTAAAACATGAGCAACACGATCAATATACTAATTCAGAAGCAAAATTAAAATTCAACATAACGGCAAGAGATTAGAAATTTGACAAACTAATATAGAATTAAAGGGATCTAACTATATTCAAAGGAAAAATGAATCAAGTACCTGTAAGTGAATGAAAAAGAATGCTCTGTTTTGTTACCATATATCTCTCTGTTACAAAATTTCTGGAATAGATTTTTCCCTTTTCTTCTTCTATCCTATCCGTGACTTCCTTCTTCTATCCTATCTGTGACTAATTTTGTAAAGGCAGTATTTTATTTAGGAAAAAAAATTATGAAATTAATTTATTTTTCTAAAATTGAAACTCAGGAATAAAATTAAAATAATTAGTTTGCAGTCACTTTTTTTGGAATTTTCCTTTAGTGTCTCTCTTTTCACATGGAGGCCTCTAGTCTGATTTTCTGTACCAAAACTAGGAAGGTGGTTTTGTGCTCCACTATAGCTCTAATCATCATATGTATCATCTTTTTGCCGAGTCGCTGTATGTATTTACTTAGTAAGTATAAGAATTTGGGACAAAAGGAGACTAGGGATGAGTGGATATGAAGAAAGGTTTTATATATCTTTCCTACTCTGACTTTTCTGTGCATTGGAAAATATCAATTTTTATACCATGTGATCGTCCACATTCTGCGTTAATTGATTCCGTTTCTTTTCCGCATTCGCACTCTTATTGTCACAGAATTAAATTTGCAGATTATAGTTGGTGTGGTAATTAATTATGGGATTTTTTAATCTGTGCCCTAAGAGCCTCATTTATTATAGTATTTATAATTAATTTTACATAAATTTTTATGTAAGATTCAAATAAAATATAATATAATATGTAAAAATATAATAAAATATAATATAATATTTTATCTTAAAATTTATAAAAAAAATTATAAATCTAAAATAAAATTTTTTGTAAAATTAATTAAAAATTCTTTAATTAATGAGTTTTAAGACAAATATTAGACAAATACAGAAGAAAACTCACCCCTAAATAAGCTTTCTTGATTTTAGATGCAGTGACAGTGTTCTGAAAATCGATCCGGAGGTCAACATGTTTTGACCTTTGAGTCTCGGTTTGACTAGTTTAATCACTTAAATTGTGAAAAATCATTGGTTCAATCAAATATTACTAAATATAATGTTGTGCAAC